TCGCTCCGTTTGTACGAGTATCTCCCTCCCCCTTCCTCGCTCTATCTGTCTCCCGCTCCCTCTTTTCCTCTTCCTCTCCCTCTCTCTTTCGTTCTTTACACCGCCGACGTATAGCGACGACGGTGGCGGTGGCGGTGGCGGTGGTGGCGGCGGCGGCTCGCTCCGTCCTTCTCTTTCTATCTTTTCGTCGAAGATACCTCACTTGCGCAGCTAGCGGCAACGCCGTGCATTATGTACCCGGTGTGCTCTCCTACCTCCCTGTTCTTTTCGCGGCTGTGTGGCGGTCGCGCGCAGCGGCACGTTACTACGAACCTTCGAGAAAACATCGTTGCCGCGATTTTTCATCTTAAATCGCGGCACACCGCCGCCCGTCGCGTCATCGGCCGCTCCGCGCCGCGCCGCGCGATAGGCCGTATTTTTAGCCGATAATTTACCATGCGATTGCGTCTCCTTCGCGTAAGACGAAACGAACGAACGAAGGAATGAACGAAGGAAATGAACGCCGGACGACGGAAATCCAACCAAGCCCAGCCGTTTTGCCGCGAATTTCTTCCTCCGCGTCGATCGTCACGTGGAAAGGTCGGAGCGCCGCTTAAACATACGCACGTTTACGCAGGTCGACACGTTCTTATTACATCGGCAACTCCTGAGTATTTATTAGCTCAAGACCGCGGACGCGCGGACGCGCGCGCGCGCGTGAGCGCGCAAGTGACCAAGGAGGGGGCAGCGGAAAGGCACTGGAAAAGATGTTTTTCGAGCGTTTCTCTCTTTGGAACATACATATATACACACACACATCCTTCTTGTACCCACGCGCGCCCGCGTACGTGCGCATATAAAATGTGACAGAAAAAGAATAATACATATGCGAGATTAGTATCGCTCCAGAACCGGCGCGGGCGGGAAAAGGCGGGAAGCTCGAGGCCGAGGGAGAAGAGTTGAATGGGGAATCACACGTTTGCCCGTCGTTCGGAGGGAACTGCGCGCTCCGCTCTTTCGGCTTTCCAAACCCGCTGAAAATCGTTCGCCTCTTTCTCTCGGTATCGATACGACGCGACCGAAGTCCGCGGACGGCGATCGCGAACGCTGGAGTTGGTCCCTATTGAGAGAAGGCGGGAAAAGGCGCCGCGTCGATCGGATAACGCAGTTATGGATCGATGTTCCGCCAGCCAGAAATAACTTATTGCATTTAATGGTTATCGTCGCGTTACCCTCTCTTTCTGTCGTGACGCTCGTGACTTTTCGCGCGCGTACCTTTTTATCGTTTAATTATCTTAATTAAACCGGCTATACGCGTTTCGAACGCGCGCGCCACGGTGCTGATTGATCGTTCCTCCGGTTATTTCGCCGGTTTTCTCGAAACGTCCTCGTCGGAAATTGGACGAGGTTGACGCGATTAGGAAGGAATTCGGCACTGGCGATTTCCGAGAAAAGCCGACGCGTCTAACGAGCGCATTCGCGCGGACTGCGTCGATCTCGTTGATAATTCGCCGATGCGCTTCACATAGCGTCACGTGTTAATTACGTAACGTTTCAACGCGCCGATCGTTTGTTCGAAGAAATTTATACGACGATACGGCGGTCTATGCGATAGGTTAGGAGCGTTGGGTTATCTGCGAGACCTCGTGATTGGAAACGGATAGATAGGTAATCGTACGTCGTGCGGGGGATAACAAACAAGCGGCAACGGCAGCGGGCAGCCCGGCAGCGTCGTCGTGTCGAGCGAGCGACGGCGTGAATGTGCCGCTGTCATTCACGTCGAGATAGCGTACGCTCGCGAGTCGACGAATGAGAGGAGCGGCGGCCGTGAGCCGCGAGCCGCCGCCGGCGAGTTCGAAGTAACGCGCGCGTCAGCTCTTCGATCGCCTCGGGTTACCATTGTTTGTAGATGCCACCGGTAACCGATCCTTCATTAGCATTTTATCGCAACAGGTCTACTCCATATACGCTGGTACAATTACTCCAAGTAGAGTGACACAGAGAGAGAGAGAGGGTGGGAGGGAGGGGGAAGGGAAAGAGCTCAACATTGATCGAGCGTCGAACGTCTCGATCCCGCTCCGACACTTGCCGCCATGGAATGCCGAGTCGCGCGCCGCCGCCGGTTAACTTCCGGTTATTATTGTTACTCGATCGTGGCGATCGATCGCGGGCGCCTTCGACGCGGGAGCCGCGCGGGTTTAATTCTCCCCCTCGTTCGACGGCCACGTGATATCCGCCTCGCGGAATGCCCGGCTCTCTTTAGTTTAGATTTATGCTTTTATTCGAAGGCTTCGCGTTGCACGACACTTGGCACGCTGCTTCGGTATCTTCCTCCCTTATCTTCCCCTTCTTTCCCCACCCCACCTCACCCCGTTACCTCGTCTCGCTCGCACGCGAATTGCACGCAGCGCGAATTTCATCCCCGCCATGGCGCGCGGCTCCGTCATCTGCCAATCACCGCGGTCTTCCCACCGCGCGTCGCCGATCCGCGCGTTCCCCGATTGGCCGGCGTGGCTCCGCGCGCGCATCCGAAGCCGCTTTCTCATACCCGCCGAATACACACGGCGCGTGTATGCTATTACGCCAGCCGGCGGCCGCCGCTGACCCCGCCACCCGCCACCTTTACCCATACACCCATACCACCCCACCATCACTACTACTACCATCGTCGCCGTTACGAGCAATACGAGCATGCACAGCCACAGCCGTTGTCGTCACCGTCGCTATCAACTACTACCACCACCATGATCAGTCAGCAACGCCGTATGGTCACAAGTCCGGCGTTACCGACGCGGCTCCTCGCGGCCGCGCAAAACCGGAGCGACGTTAGAAAATATGCCCGAATATCGGAGGCCGTTGCGTGAGTCGCTCCGACATATCGGAGCGGACGTGCGCCGCGCTGCCTCGGCGCGCCCCTCGTGCGCGGCGATCTCGATCGCTGTCGCGATAAATCGCGATTCCGAACGATACGTTGGACGCCTTCGTCGGCATTCTCGTTGGCGGCATGTTTTCAGGTTGCCCACCGAGCAAACTCCGCTCTCGGCTGCTGGCTCCCCGCCGTTCCCCTCGTCTCCTCCCTCGAAATCGATAAACTATGATGCTTATTGCGTTATGGCCGTTACGGGCCATCGGGACTGGATCAAGGGCATGGTTCTACAACTCGCGGAGGGCGGGAGGGGGAGGTAACGTTGCGCGCGCGTATGTAGGCGCTTATAGAGTCGCGTTCCCCTTTTGCCTATTTTATGTAAAGTACGATTAACCAGTCCCTCTCTCTCTCCCTCTCTCTCTCTTTTTCTCTCTCTCTCTCTCTCTCTCTTTTTCTCTCTCTCTCTCTCTCTCTCTCTTTTTCTCTTTCTCTCTCTCTCTCTCTCATACGCGCGCGCAATTATACAACACACACACCTTTAACGCGCCGCTTTGAAGTACGCGGGGGCGAAGTCACAGGACAGCTCCGCGCCAAGCTAAACGTTTATCGGCAAAGTGGTGATACTTTCTACTACCTGTTCTTCGTGTTTTCGGCGCTGTCGGATCGCCCGGTATATACGCGATTCCCTCCGCCATTTCCCTTTTCCTGTCCTACCGTATTTTAGCGGATAGGGTAAGTCCCCCACCACCCACCCTTCCCGCGCCTGTCCACCGTATTTCTTGGCGGGAAGGGACCTTGTCCTCCTCGCCGACCGGTACGCTTCTCCTCTATCCCTCTCGTCTCATCCGCTATCGCACCGTTGCACTGGCGCCGAATTTTCTTTCCTTCCTATCGTCCGTTCGATGTTAAAAGAAGGGTACGTCTCCTTGTACGCGTCAAACGGACCAAGTCGAATATATAAATCTGCACTTTATACGCAGTCGTCGAGATACTCGTAATCGGTAATGATTCCTCGCTTATTCACAGCCAAAGCCTGCCTGTTTATCGCGGGATTTATTTTAAATAAGCCGTTTTTTTCCGTGTTGCAGGAGAAAAATGAAGAAACAAAGAAACAGAAAAAGGAGGAGAATGGAGACGGAGAGGTAGAAGAAGAAGAGATTGAGGAAGAAATCGAAGAGGAAGAGGAAGTAGACGGTGACGGAGAGGAGGATGACGATGATGATGACATACCTGAGGGTGAAGAAGATTTAGAAGAAGGAGAAGGTAAATATAAGCGACCTATCTCAAACTGTATCTCGTAATGGATTTTTAAACGAGAATCCTCATTTACTGAAACGTTTACCGTTTATTACAGATGAAGAGGATGACGACGCGGAAGGTGAGGTAGAAGGTGAGGTGGAAGACGATGAAGATGACGCATAATGAAAAAAGGGAAAACATTATGCAATTAAGAAGGGAGGCGTTAGGCACGTGACGACATCGTGGTCGATTTTCGGCAAACTCAGCAAACTTACTCTCATATTGAGTGGTTGGTAACAATGTTGATATCCATCGTGCCCAATCCGTATTGGACCCTCTCTATCTTCCGATCGACAAGTAAAAATTACCACCTCACCGGAATTGTGGTGGGCCGACTACTTGTGAGTAGTTCTCTACTTGTCTTGGCTCTTCGCAATTCTGGTCGTTTAGCCGTCACCAAATGCTATTAGGTAGTTTGAATGATAACTGTATATTCGTCCTGAGGATTCGATGAGTTGATTTTATCTGCTGTCTAGATTCTTATTTCGATCGATCGATCGATCGATTGATCGGTCCATTCGGTACACGTGCACGATTTCCCAAGACGAATCTATCGTTTTATCCGAACCACCTACTAACTGGTATTTGCCGTCATCTGGCTTTCTTCGTCGGGACAGACAATTTTATAACAAGATTACTTATTTAAGATAAAAAAAAAACTATTATATATTTAAATAGTGTAAAATGAATATTCGAAGATGATTTTTTTACATTAAAAATCAAATTTACGTTTGTAGTTCGACGAATGTCTCTCACCTTGTGTGTGTGATATATTGAGTTCTTCTTCTCGAATCGAAATGTGTAATTGCAGTGTCTTCACAGGAGCGCGAGGCTATCGAGCAGAATTGAGCGATTAATACGTAACATATACGGCAAATAAAATAAATAGGCATGAATGGACATCTCTCGGCATTCAATGTATACTAAAATGAGGAAATCTTAAAAAAAAAAAAGAAAAATAGACGTAACGCCGCTTCGTGCTCCTGTTTGGTATAGAGACAGGAATTAAGATTAAATGCAACGCTCGCGTCAAGTAGTATGGATGAATAATATGTGACTTTAATATTGCATAATAATTATACATAGTATGTATAAAGTTATGGGATAAGAAACATTTTATTATTAACGATAATATTATATAAACGTAATATAATGCGGAGAGGTTGTTACACTTTAGGCTTGGGCATAGATAAGGGAGAGCATCGAACAGTCAGTCAACTTTGTAAAGTGTAAGGGCCCCGTCACTCTTCTCTATTCATTTCAACCAATTATATCATTTTTTATAGAAGATAAGAGTTTCAATTATACACATAGATAAATCTATATATATTTATAACTCTCCAGAACTGCCGTACATGACGCGAAATTATAAAAAGAAAAGAGAATCCGGACTACATATTGTGATTATGTAATAAGTACTCTCCCTATTTTCGAATGTTCTCATTTGAGTGTAATTCGAGCGTTTCAGTTACTTTTATCTATTACGATTTTATCTCGACTTTATTGTGGGCTATTTTGGCAATGATTCGTGGACTGTTGTAAAATGAGTCAGCGGTATTTATTTATTCTCGTATATAATTTGTCCGTATATAATTTATATATAGTCCACGTTTCGATATCTTAATAATGACATATACACCAGATTTGCTAATGGTGTCTAAAAATTTTTAATAGTGTTGATACTGATGATAATGTTGATTTGCTGATTCGATAACTCCGATTCGAAACAAGAAGATCGCTCTTTGTGCAAAAGTCGGTGAATCATTGCGATTGGCATGTCCATGCCGCTACTTATTTTCGGGAGACTGTTAGATAAAAGGGTGAAGAGACATTGCGGTTATACCATTGTACCATAGCATAATAATTAAATAAAGGTAACGATAATTTGAATGCGAGAAGATGTCCCACGTTTTAATGTACAAATATTTTCGAATGAGAATAGTTAAATAAAACGCAGTTAGATCAGAGAAAATGAATTCGTTCTCATAAGTAGTGATGAGTTTAATATCTGAAAAACTATGAGGAGACGAGCGGTGTAAATGCTGCTCTGATACCACACGGACTAAAAATCCTGCTGTATGGAAACCAAGGAGATGGAGGTTGGATCGTGTAACGTTGATACTTACAAAAAAAATCTCTTACCATCGGCAGATTCGATGGTGCGAAAGAAGAAAATTCGCGAATACTCCTCATCATAAGTGTATGTAACGCGTCCAACAAAGCCGATCGATGTCAATGTGATGCGTACAGATCATACCATCTCCGGCAGTCTCTGTTAATCTACGGTTTTATACGCAATCTGCTGCTGTATTTACACGTGTTTGCTTCAAGATAGTAACTTGACGATGACAAATTGGCAAAGGACTATCTTTAAGTACAGGTGCCTGAGCAAAATCAGTACTTTAGCGTTCATAGTATATACTATACTATACATACTATAAGCATAGACCCATTTAATTTTATTAAATAAAACGCCAAGCCCCGTTGGCAACACACGCATCCTGAACAAAACAAAATAAAAAAAAGAAAAAGACTTGCGTTTTGTACTGTGTCAAGCCCGGCAGAGTACGGTACTCTTCTTCGCGCTCGAGTACTCGACGCGATTCGCGAAATTCACTTACTGGTGCTAACGGGTCTTACAATCAATCAGGCTGATCGCCCACGTATACCGTTACACCCCTACGTTTGTTAGGTAAGCATGGAAAGAAAAAGTTCAACAGACATCAAATCTGGTAAATGACACACACGTGTGTGTGAGTGTGTGTGCGCGTGTGTGTGTGTCACACGATTTAACGTAAACGAAAATCCTAGGCTAAGAATTTGGTTTGTGTGTTCATAAGTCTTGTTCAAGCTACTTTTGTACAGGATACCATTGCATCATCTCTTTCAACGTATAACAAGTAACCGACACACCACAGACTATATATTTCTGCCCATTCCATCAGAACTGAAACTTTCATTGTATTTTTAAGTAAATACATTTTGGAAAACAACACGGATGGCTTTTTTATTCTTCACATGTGTGTGTGAAGCGAAATATTTCTTCCCCACTCGTGGATTATATATATACTTGCATATAATGTATTGCTATATATCCTTGCGAATACATTTGTGCAATTCAGGGACGCCGCCTGAGAAAGATTGTATAGTAGTATTATACGACAGTTGTATGCCGTATATATACACATGTATGTAAGCTACATTGAGATAATCCGAGCGTTTACCGCCGACTTTTTCACGCCAAGTATACGAGAGAGCGCTACTTATCGATCGATGTTATGTAAATATGCAATCGTAAAACTGTAAATATGCACTTTTGTTGTATCTTTAAACAGGATATTAAGTGCTTACAAAATGATCCATCACAGTAAACTAAGAATCGATGCGTGAATGTATCGTCTTACTGTTTCCTTCATTTCCCATTGCGTTCGATTTCCATCCGATGTCTATGACGATACTTTCATCAATAAAGGACACACTTACGCATGACACAATGTATAAACACCAATAAAATTTACACGAGATTGTTAAAGCTAAATATCACTCTTATATTTATAACAACTTTTTATTTACATTACAGGTATATGGCAAATAATTAAGTATAAGTTCTTAGATATAAGATGATTCCTTGCAATATTTCCTGCACGCTAATAAATTACCTGAGGTGATTGTAAAAATATATTTTACACCAAAACGATGCTATGTTACTTAATCTAATAAAATTGTTCGATAGATTAGAGAATTGCACTTTATCTCTTACATATTATTCGTAAAGCTCCTGTAAGATGTAAAACAAAGTACTTGGACGGAACGTTTATCAAAAATTTTTGAGTATGTTGACTTCTCAACATTTCTTCGCTCTTTTTGAGTAAACGTTAATCCTAAATATAACGATCATGTGTCAAATGTATGATTGTACAAAGTGCGGTTTTGTAGAAACATATAGCTGTGCAAAAAGGATAAAAATGTGGTAACATAGAAAATATTTACCTAATACGAATATTTATCTAATATAATAATTTACAGTATTGCCAGCCTGCTCGTTTACACTTTACAGTATCCATTTGGACACAATTTCTTTTGGTTATTGCGCGTAATTCCCTTCGTCGCGAAGACTATCGTGCAATCTATATACGTATGAAAAACAAGTTATGAACTTTGATCACAGTCAGAGCATTACCTCACACACCACGCAATCAGTATTTCGTATCAAAATTGCTTCAATAACGTCTCAATCTGTAACGTCGGCAAACGAACGTTTCGCGCCAATGTCGGTTTCTAATCACCGACTGAACAATTTATCCTGGGTAGATAATGCTAAATTGTGCATAATTATCAGATAAATTGTGCAACTAAATATCAAGATGGTCATAATATATTTTCGGCTAATACTCACCGATGAGTATGCAATAATTGTGCACCGATAATATTTTGCTAAAACAGAGCGTCTCTTTTTGTTCATTGTCACAACAGTCTAAACATTTTTAACAATGTATAAACTGTATAAATTGAGCGTAGATATAAACAAGATGTAGACTAAGTATCGAAACAAATTTATCTTCTTTATATAAAATTTATATCTTCTTTTATATATATATAAAATAAGAAATAACTCAATTAATTTTTTTGAAGGCAGTAAAGAGAGCTATACACTTGTGTGTATAAAACTGCTGCTAAAACTTGAATTTCTTAACTGTTATTTCTTTATGACCAATCTGGCATTAGCTAATAATAAAAAAATATATATCATTTCTACCAACGAGTCTACCATTCGGATAAAAGACAAATTGTAACGCCTCTCTCTCTCTCTCGGTAGTGTTTTTATACATTATATATACTTGAGGTGCGAAGTCGTATCTTTTGATAATAAGCGGTTTTAGTTATGTCCTCAGCCGTTGTTTTCTCGTTTAGTTTTGAGCATCTTATTCAAATCGGAGAGTTCTTGATTTATCCAAGAAATACCGTCATTCGTGGCGTTTTCTTCGGTGTTGTTCGCCTCAGGCTAAAATCAGATAAAAATTGTTTAAAAAGCCACATATCGATAGTCAATTAGTGGGTTCTAGAAATTCAAGACCCGACCGTGTCTCCACATATGACGTAAGGTACTCACTTGTATGGAATCGGAGATGCATAATCCAGTTGACAAATTCGCGGATAGGTTTGCTCCAAAATCCGCGAGATCACCGGAATTCCAGTCAAAATTGTATTGCTGATTGTCCATGTCTAGCAGACATGTGGCTCCCGCGGTCCCTGAAAGATTTATGTAACAGAATACAAACGATTAATTGTTTGAAATTTTCGAGGCGCATTATACATGCATAAATTATATAACATTAGGATTATAACATGAGAATACAAATAAACAATGATTATAGTAAATAGGAAGTTACCGATGTTATTTAATGGCTGTAATTCGCCTTGATTTGGTGTTACTTTGTTTAACATTAGCAGGTTTGGTTCCGGCTGATGTAATTGAGACTGATCCGGCTGAGGTAATTGCGTTGGATATAAAAATTGTTGAACATCTGTCGTTATCGGCATATTTGGTTGTTGCATCAAAGACTGAATGTTTGGTTGATACTGTTGTTGTATCAGAGATGGGTTGTAGGAGCTGTATTCCATAGGGGATGGTGTTCGCCCCGGTGATACTTGAGGCCTGAAAAAGAACGAAGAAATGCATAGATACATGTACACTTGAATATAAAGTTTTTGTTCTTTACATTTTTATTTAATTCTATTCTAATTTCTCTTTTTATTTAGATCTATTCTAATCTCTTAATCTTAATTATTAATTTACCTTAAGGTTTGCATACTGCTGTGTGACTGCGAAGATGATCTTACAGGTTGCAGTCGAGTGAAACCTCCTGTACTTGTACCTGGACCACCGAATGGTAACATCTGCTCGGCTGGTTCAGCTTTGACGATATTGTAACTAATAGGTTGATTTCCAGCATCTACAATATTATACACAGTTATCTTCTCATTACGTGTAAAACAGCGATTATCTCAATCCTCTTAAGGCAATTAAAGCGATCTTAATTTACATGCATATGTTATGATATTATTAACAGTGATATTAATAGCAATAATAATAAACATGCGAGAGAAACATGTAAGAAAATCCTCAGTGAAAAAGCGTGATTTGTTGCACACGTATTATATACCTATTACATATACATGCAACTTTATATATTTTCACTCTTCAAAATTTTTAATTCTACAAAAATCATTCTCTATATTCTAAACAATCAAGTCGTCTGATTTAAACCATTATATTAGCGAAAACTGTTTACACAATGTACTAACATTACTATGTCGTACCTGAATCTGCAACATGTATTAGTAAATTTTTTATCTGAAATTGTATGGGAGCAGAGAATAAATAGACACTTTTTTTGCATCACCAAGTGATTATACATATATGTATATATATAGATGTATTACATCATACGTAATTCGTACAATATGTAAATATATTTATCTGTTCACAAAAGAAGCAGTTTATAAAAATTATATTACCATAGAAATATTGCACATTATTTGATTGTACTATGCTACAATCGCTGCACGAAATATATATATGTATATATATACACACGCAGCTGACTTTCAAAAGTATAATATTATTGCACAAGAGCAGCGCACTTGCACTATACAAAGTTTGAGCTATGAAATTTTTACTTATAAGTACCTATTCTCACGAGTGATTATTCCACATAATAATTACAGCAAATTTTCCGTTATAAGATCTAGGAGATGCGTTGTATACTTGCTTCGCGGAATCAATTATCCCGTGTAAATATCCGTAAATAGAAAAATACAATATTATCATATCTCGAAATATACAAGTTCACTGCTCCCTAATCCATCAAATTCAAACTCCAAAGTCCCATGTAAAATACATCTTTAAAAAAGTATAAAACAAGATCTTTTTTGCTTGTCAGAGTATGTGAAAATATATGTATAGTGTTCTTAGATATAATGAAACCTTGTTCGATGAGCTTCCCTTTCCACTATGAAATTTGTTCAACAATTTTCAGTCTGTTAAAAATGTCGACACAAAATTAGGTGTGCGTAGATGCACGGAAAGCACTATATTAATGCGTTTTACGTTTCTAAAATTTTATATCATATTTTCAAAGTGTAAAGGGATTGAATTAATCAGATGATTAGTGTATGATGAGACATAAGAATAATCGAACGTTGACCGTTTAAAAGATTATACAATCGTTCGTACAAATACTGTAGTTATTTCTAACTTTGTATGTATATCCCAGTGTTAGAAATTTTCTCAACAAATTCATCATGTTTGTCATAACAATTAACAAATGTACCAAATAGGCCTGTGCTAAAATGTACAAAAACTTCACAGATTTCATTGTAAAAGGCCTCTTGTTTCATATGCATTTAAGCGTATACTTCATTTCTGCACAAAGAGTATATGTATAGGAAACATCAATGGCAAAATTGATTACAGCAGACAGAAAAGAGATTGAAGGATTGCGAGTGAAAATAGATAATTAGCTCGACACTCACTCTCCTTCAATGAGAAACGTGACGTAAGAATAAATAAGTATGATTTTTTACATCCCAGATGAGATTTGGACATGTCCCGATGATAATACAATGTAATATCAACGATGATGCCCACCATAATCCCAAGCTGTAGAATTATGAAGAATTCTGCAAATATACTCACGCTTCTCAGTTTCTGCTACATGTTTGAAAAGTATGGAGCTCGAGCTGTTATTAAGCTTTTGTCTCTTTCGCCTTAACGAATCGGCATCATCTATAAATGATTGTACATTAATGACTATTTTCAGTATAGGTATCTCGCGTTAACATCGCGTACAATTGCTCCGAATGAAGAAGGCCTCATGTATTTGAACCTTACAAATTTTCTTAGCGCACATTAATTAAGTACTCCAAAAAGAGATTCAACTCGGGACAAACTGAGCTAAGAACTTTTCGTCGAGACGTTTTTAAAATTAGCAGTCTATAACAACACGAGAAGGAAAAGACATTCGCATAAACTCGTAATATCATATAAAACTTAACAACAAATAGTAAAGCAACCTACATTGAGAGTATACGAAAATATAACAGCATCGAACTTGACTAGAAAAGAGTAGTTAGTTAATTGATATAATAAATAACAATTATAGAAAACTTACAAATCATTTGTAAAAACCGTTAATAGGAAATATCAAGAAAAAGGTAACAAATTGCACTTCGACTAGACTAAAATTCTGCACGCTTAGATAAATGCGTCGATCTTACAAGAATCGATTCATTTTATGTGGCAACATGTCTTAGGAAATAACTCTCTAAGGGGATTTTCTCGTTCTCCGAGGAAAATTTTTCAGTTTAAAGATAAAAATATATCCTTAAATGAGTGTCACATCAAAACTGCAAATTTACAACAAGAACTGACGGTAATAAAAGCTTATAGCAATGCAAGACAATATTTCTCACATTTCGACATATAAAATCGGTCAGGCTCAAACAATATCATTTCATGTACAAATATTGAGTTATCTTCAACTTGGCAGTATATAAACAAAGAAGAAGTATCAATTCGATCAATAAAATATCTATCAATTAGATAATTTAGGTCTCTTTCGCTTCTGTCAATATCTTCCCACCCTCGACTAGACTATAATAAAAAGACATCTCGTCAAATTCTGAGGCAGTCGCGCGTGGTGCCATAGTAGTGTAGAGAGCATAATGCTCAGCTTCAGTTAAATCTGCACCATACGGTGGTGTGTCATCGTCATCTAACTTGAGAGATTTAACACTCGTAACACTCGTCATACTAGAACGTGGAATTTGTGATTGCGCAGCATCTTGTACGGAGCTCTTCAATAAATATGAGGTATTCAGTGATGGATCACTGTCTTTGCTTACAATTAGATCTGATTCCGAGCACTTGTCTTTTTTATTCTTTTTAGCAAATAATTTCGAAAATAACCCTTGTCTCGCGTGTTTCGACAAAGTGCCGGGTAAGGACGGCAAATTTTTATTCGGCGCCTCGGGAGAGGAGGTAGTAAGCGTTTGAGCGGATATCGGACGCGGCAAAAGAGGCATCGACGGCATTTTGCGTATTCGCTTCGGAGGCAAGGGTGGCAATCTTTCTTCCGCCTCGTGCATTACGTCTCTCTTAGCTGTTAATGTTGGAGACGCAACGGGTACTTCCGCATCTTGTTTCGGGACGGCTACGTCTTCGTACTTTCGGTCATCGGTGATATCGAACAATTCTATCGGATTTTTCATGGCCATTTGTAAACTGGTATAGGTCTGATTGTCGCAGACATCAATGTCCATCATTTGTGGATTCACGTTCGTATCTGTAGTAGCTTGTATCAATTTGTTATGTGTATCAGCATAAATTTGATCGAGCTCGGTCACTTGCGACAAAAACTCATTAAACGATTTATTGCCACCATCTGTCTCGTTCTTAGTCTCTGTCTCATTAGTCTTTTCCTTAAGGCACGCTTGTCCCTTCTGTACCCATTTACCTATTTCAGAATAGTCGAACCAATCTGACCTACCCTTCGAATTATCTACATTTCTCGACGCGGATGTGCTGCCTTCTTGTGCGTTGGATTTCGCATAAAGAATCGCATCTATAGTTCCTTCTTTATAATCGGCAGTAAATGCATTATTTTCTACATTATTATCGCCAAAGGTATACAATTTGCTAATTTCTTTATTATTTTCCGCATTTCTTCCCGGGATTATCGTTATTTCATTATTCTCACAATCCAAAACGGTATTCTTCGCGGATTGATCTACGTTCTGTGCAGAATTTATTAATGCCTTTAAATCGCCATTACACAGATCTACGTGATGTTTTACGTTATACAAATCGTTTAAAGCACGCAATGCAGAGATTTTATCGTTCGGTCTTTTCGCGTCCAGATCATTATTGTTGAATTCGTCGATATTACGAGAAAATTTAGGAGTTACGTTGGCAAGAAGAGCAGTCTCTGTAGACAAGATTTTACTGAAGGTATTGTAATCTGCCTTCTTCCTGGCAAATGCTTTCCGTAAAGACCAGAAAGCAGGCCTACCTGTACCTAGTGGTAACATCTGAAACGGTAGCGGTTCGCTCGTAGTACCATCCGATGGCCTTCTAAGTTGGATATATACTTGCACTGGCTGTTCCACTTGCTGCGTACGATAGCTAGGCGTTCTGAATGCTATTGCCGTCTATAAAAAAAAAAACACTATCGATATAGACAATATAATACAGGCAAATCCTATTCTCTATTGTTCACAATTAACAATCTACATATGCAACTGTCAATGTTAACTTACTTGTTTATGTACATGTGTCGGTTGAAAATCGCCGTATCCTTCCCACAGTAGTTGTCCGTCTCTCTCCTCGAAAAACCTCACTTGTATATCTTCTTTCGCGACTTTTTCACACAGCAAAATCATATCCATCCCACCAGCGACCGATGCGCTGCAATGGCTCAATTTGCAAATCACAAGATCACACATTGCCTCTGGAAACAGCACATATATCGCAAGTAAGAAGTTTTATTCTCAACGTATACGTGAAGAATATATATATATTCTAAAATTACACATTACATACTTTTATCATAAATAGGGTCAGACACGACGGGCGGTAATGGCTTGTTGAATTTTCCCCTTTGTCCTTCCAAGAAAACTTGAAAACACAATCTCACTGCGTTTAGATCAATGTTAGTCGGATGTCTCTTATGTTCGAAACCAGCTGTAAGAAATTCAGATCTGTAGTGTCAAGTATATTATTAATATGATATAATTACAATATAATAAACGAGTCTCGGATTTAGACAAGATTTGCACAACTAATTCGCACAGTGCATGTCGGTCTCAGCTTTCCTTTCTTTTTTTTACCGCACAAAGACAACTGACCTTTCCACGATCGTTATAATTCAATATAATAAATAAAGAGGGACACGTAGACAATAAACATCGCTAATAGACTCGACAATTTTATATATGTAATTACACGTGTAAACAGCTAGCATGCGTTTGGCCAACCTTGGTCTAGAATCAAATATCCTGCAGATCTTCGTAACCGACTTATCTAAATTAATAAGAAATTAATCAGGAAAAGATAAACGTACTTCGAAAGGGGTCTACTCGTAAATCCTGACGCACTCTGAGAGCTTCTTCGATGTCCTTCTTTTTTACACATTGAATGCCCAGATTTGAGAAGGAAATAACCATATTTCCCGCCGGAACTTCGATCGTACAAACGCCTTGCTTGCATGCTTCTTTGCCGACAAGATTGTGCGGATGAGGTCTATATGGGGCGTCCTTTGTTACGCAGGATACAACCACCATAGCACGACCCGTGTAACCCACGATCTACAAGAATATTACAAGCGTATAAAAATAAGAGAAAGAAAGATTTAAAAAAAAATCGCTAATGAACGAGCGTAACTCACTCGTATACTAGGGAAAGTTTTGTTCTCCGGAGCGCTGTTGATACCAGGTATGCTGCCAGCCGATCTGCCTTCGCATTCATAGCGAAACCGTAGCGCTTTACTGGCCGGCTGTTCTAAAATCTCAACGTGAGGCTGAACGTGTTCGTTGTCCATCGCTATGGTGGCCATAGAACCAGGATCGGTCGTTTGAATGACGTCAACTAAAAATAGTATTTGTCAGATAAGCACACAGCACGGGGAGTTGCCGGGGAGCTCCTGAGAAGCTCGTAAAAATTTTCATAAGTTTTATTTAAAAGAACTATGCACGTAGCTCCCCGGGAGCTCGTGTGTCCACTATTGTAATTAAAATATTTTATTAAAAAATTAAGTAATCGACCGAATATATATACATATATATATATATATATCCACCGTGATGTAAAACACAATAATAACGAAAATGTTTTTCTCATATTCAGCTCAGCAAAATAAACTCTCTAGAAGCTTGTTTTGTTGAATTTTGTAAGCTCCCCAGGAGCTCAGCAAAATGAACTCCCTGGCAGCTTAATCGGAGCTTTGTGCTGTGTGGGGCTGTACAAAGTACACTAAAGTAAAAAATATGTGCTCGATACTTACTGATATCACTTATATTAATATCTCCATCACTTATATCATTGTATCGTTCCATAACTGTGATTCTTTAATACATTGAGTTTTGTCCATCTAAAATGTAATCATAAATACATCAATTAGTCACGTGGTTTTATATATATAGTACAAATAATATTATATATATTACAAAAAGTATTTTTCTATTTATATTTCATTGATAAAAGGATTTCTCTCGATTAAATACTCGAATTACTGAACAACAAATCTTAACGTGCAATGAGAATTGGCATGTGATATCTTACATATTGTCAAAGAATCTTTTTAGATCAGCGTTTGCTCCCTTTCTCCCATTATACAACTTCAATATTTCAAGTTGAATCTGTACCCTACAATGTACATTGCCGTGTTCAAGTGGCGAACGGTACTTGAGCCAGTATCGGCGAGAAACTGGGAAGATAAACGCAATTTCCACGTATTGCCTTCGGGGTCCCGGAACGACAGCTGTTCGTTCCGTTCGCTCGTACGGCGGGGATACGTCCAGAAACACTGCACCGCAAGTGTCCCGGGGGAAAAAGGAGCGCGAGGAGGGAACGCAAACGCTGATCCAATCATTATTTTGGGCGAGCCTAGGCCCGTACAGGCAGCGTATCTATAATTAAACTATCGTAGGACAATGTGACGGGAGCGAGAGATAGAAGGAGCGAGCGAGCGAAGCGAGGAGAGAGCGAAGAAGAGGGGAAGGGAGAGAGAAGAGCGCGAATCGACTGACAAGAGAACAAGAGAGAGATGGATACTTGCCTGCTGCGCGAATCAACTTATCAACATGCTATGCTATGTGCTTCCGAGGCTGGCGCTGTGGCTGCGTGCACTCTCGCCTCTCGCCACCTCTCGCACTCGCGAATCTCGCGCCGTTCCCGACGCGTTGTCCCAGTTGTCCGCGTCGACGAGTCGCGACTTGCAGCGAGAAATGCGACAATTTCGACAGGAGGTCCCTGATTTCCCTCGCTGTGACCGCACGGGAGAAAAACAGCCGCGAGGCGACCCCGCTTTTATGCAGAATCGTACTTCCGTCGCAGCGCGATCGCTGATGGATCGCTGGCGGCTGGCCTCGCGCGCGTTACTGCGCTGCGTAGCCAGAGTCACAGTATATAACTGTGCCTGCACTGCCTGCGTCTCGGCAACTCGCGGTAGACGCGGACAGCGGACTCGGCCCGCGCGAGCCCGTGACGTCGTGGAGAGCGACCGACCGGACGGACGGTATCAACGACTGACTCAGACCGAGACCAACTCAGACTGACTGACCGACCGATCGACGTTAGACGTAAACGAGGAGCGACGGCAGCGGGCGGGCGAATGAGATCTCGCGCGCGCGCGTGGAGTAGCCGAGCAGGTACCTTGGTACCTGGGTACTCCGGATCTCAAGGTACAATTTGCCGAGGTATAAAGGGCGGTACTCGTCCATAAATCTTATACTTAAGATCGTTAGATCTCGAGATAATATACGACTGTTTAATGGCTTTTAAATGGGACCTTGAGATACGGAGCCAAGTTTAAGACGATCTTGTAAGATCGTTGAGATCCTCAGAGTATATGGATAGTCCTTGGACGAACAAATCACGACGAGGAATGACGATGTCTTATCATAAGATCTTTGCAGCGAGCAGATTGAAAGAAAAAAAATTGGCAAATTTCTTTCTTGCAGAATTATGCGCAATCCCTATTTTCGTTCGTTGCCATTGGATCTTTGCCGTTCGCGAATACTGTTCGCTTCCCTGTGCTCGACTCCCAACTACAAAATGTCTTTTAAGGATAGAATAAATTAAAGAGATCCAAAATTCTCTTCTTTCCTTTTTCGTTGTTTTTTTAAGTAATATCCGACTCTTTTGGAAGTCGTAACGAATAATTATTTTAAATTACTTTAAAGTAATTATTCGTTGCAACGAACACGGCTAGACGACCTTGATTCGATTAGCACGCGCAAGCTAGACGTTATCAAGCGCATTTACTTTGTAGTTTCATTTTTGATATATATATTTCTTCTTTTTATTACTTGTAGTAATAAAATTTTAAGTCACTGCAAAAATAAGATTTCACAGTGTTATCACAAATGAATCTGATGCAAAGATTTTTAATTTCTGCCAGACTTCATAAACCTGTACAGCTTCGTTAACAAAAAATTTATTGTAAAAATATTAATTCTGCAGTCATTTCGTCTTCATCTAGAATCCAGAATTATTAGAATCACACTCTATACATCAACGTCAGCTCAGTCATTTATTTCCCAGCGATATCCGTGTTTCGTCCCCATGACGAGAACTACGCTTAACAAACAATCTCGATCGCATTCGAGAACAGTCTTATGCGCGAGCTGCAAGCGACATGCCAGAGACGACTACCCTGTCGAAACGGAATCCGGGTCCGCGACCCGCGGCCGTCACCAGGGTGGAGACCAAGCTGCCCCGATGCGTGCAACGTAGATTGCCGTGCGCCCCCGTGCCCGTAAGATGCCATCCGCGATCAAGCCCGTACCGATGCACCGATCATCGCGTACCACCCAAGAGACCCTACAGACTAGCGGTCGGGTTGTCAGTGACTAGGACCGGTCGCGGGACCCCGTCGACAATACCCAAGAACTGCTCCGACCGATGCCCGCCCGGCTTCCTGGCCATTGGCACTCCCCGCTGTAAAAAAAGTCTGTCGATGATGGACCTGTCCCTCGCCGTCGTCGATCCTGACGTCGGTGATCTCAAGTGAGCCGGTTTCTCGAAGATAAATATGCAATATTGCGTGAATTTATGATAGATATCTCGATCGCGAGATATCTTTTTTTTCCGAGAGACGTTGATGACATTAAATTAATAACTTCTCTATACTTGATCAGAATCAAGATATATTTAATATTGATTCCGTGGAATGAATAAATGACAGAATTAATATTCTTACGTTAAATATTGTTACTGAAGCTATATACAGCTATACAGATTTATGAAATCTGTGAGAAATTAAAAACTTTAACTTTAGATTGTAATAAAAGGGTACACATCATTATAGAATGTTGAAGACTGATCGTTACAATCATGAAAGTATAATCTAATCAGGGAGCATGTTGTTTAGATCGGAGAGCGAGTCCTCTGCCAGTCGCCTCGATGAAATCGCCGACAGGACCAAGGACATCTTGGCGAACGGCGGAAGTGGTAGATCCTGGACGGACGCTACGCCGTCCTCGGAATCCGAGCAGGGTGAAGCTACGGAGGATCCGACGATCAAGGCGGCGAACGTAGTGTGCCGCGTGCTGGTGCTGAACGCGTGGCGACGCAGACGCGCCGAGATCGCGCAGCTCGAGCAACAGGTGGAACACCTGCACTTGCAGATCGAGTTCCTGCGCCGATTGCTGCTCGCCGAGAACGACCGGGTTGGCAGACTGAACGGCGAGTTGTATCGCGAAAAGTCGCAGCTCGAGGAGATGACGCGCGAGCGCGACGCCGTCAAATCGGTACGGTCGATCGATTTATTCGTCCAGCCGTATTTTGCATGTTTGGACTCATTTCGGTTGCTCTCGTCTAAATTTGGTCTATTAACATCTGAGTTTTTTTTTTAGAACAAAAAGCTTTAAAAACAAATGTGCTGAATAGAATTTGTTAAATATGTTTGTCATCGTGATGGAGAAAAACTCTATCGGTTTCTTTGAACCAACAGCGATGGCAATGTACGCGTCTTGCGCTTCCAGTGCGTCATTCTCGTATGCGGAACGAACACGGGAGTTCAGTGACATGTTTCTAATTACGGGGATGATGCTACTGCGAGAATGCGCCACACGTGTTCCAGCGACGCGCGATAGGCCGTTTTGGAAAATATGTGCATTTCGCGCGCGCCATAATCGTATAACTAGCGACACTATATTATTATATTTATGTATATTTGGTAAAATTCATTATTTTATGAAAAGTAGTCGCGCATTATCGGGTGTTCTGTTGCAGGAAAAAGAGAAGTTGGAAACTGAGTTAAAGCGCGCCGAGGAAGTCTCTCAGGAGCGATCAGTCACGGTGGGGAACTTGAGAAACGAGCTCTTGACCGCACAGGATCAGCTAAAAGCGCTCGACATGCAAATGATGAAGGATCGAGAGAAACTTTTGAAATTACGGGAAGATAAAAAGATTCTTCTGGATAAAGTTGCGTTTTTTCTTTCGAAAATTAGTCGCCGATATACCTCATTAAACGCATTTTTCTTAGAATTCTTCGGCTAATTTTAAATCGAGCTTTCATTCGCAAAAATATCTCGAGTCATAATTTATCGCAATTTCTCAATCTTCTTTAATATAATCCCAATCTTTGTTCAAGCAACATCCAGTGAGCCAAAGCGATCCCGCGATTCCTAAACGCGTGCACATAAGCAGCCGCATAGCGCGTGATAAAAAATTGATCTGTTGTTCGGTGAGTCATTGTTACCCTCGTCTGAGACACGAGGTTACAAGCCCCTTCTCCTCTTTCTTGGGGGTGAGTTCTCCCACGCGCGATTTCTGCGCGAACTCCTTTCGCGTTCCACGAATCAACTGACTCATTCTTTCTCCTTCACCCTTACCACAGAGATTAGACATCTCCACATATCATGTAACATCAGTTCGTCGCGCGACTGGGGAATGTCATTTAATCAATATCTTCTGCAAATTCTTAATAGCAAATGAGGATGAGAGAATATGTTTCTTAAATAGGAAAATGTTTCAGAATTATTAAAAGAACAAGAATATTTTGATCGATGCAATATTATGCTGCCAATTCATTTAGCTTAGATCACTGCATATCATCGCGCGACATCCATCACTTTTTTAAAGTTTCCTGAATTTACCCGCGAGGCAGCGTCAGGTCAATGCACGACGAAAGAAATATAGCTTGCGGATGAGTCACACCTTTCGCGTTTCGCCGGTGACTCAATATCACGTAATACTCCTTCCGTACCAGGAAGAAGGATCAATACCACTTGCCCTATTAACTTTTATCCACTGCGGAATCGCGGGATATCGTGGAAATGTGCAATTGGCACAAATACATAGAGTTTATTTACACTTGAATATAAATTGTCCATCTATATCATAAATCCTTGACACGTGACGTTTATATGGTATACTAGCGATTCTGCAAAAGATCTGACTGAGAAATTGCATCCTAGAATTATCCCGCACGTTTTTGATAATAAAAACAGTCAGCCAAAATTTACCGAGCGATTTGCAAACGAAGCATTCAACTACTTTTGAAAATTTGAGAAATATTGGTCAGCATATTCTTATTGTAAATTTGCTACTATGATAAGGATATTTGTTTAGGTATCAGCCAGCGAAGCACTAGCGACAGAACGTGGTGCTAGAGCGGAAAAAGCAGAATCTGCCGTCGAGGACTTACAGTTGCGATTAGTGGCACAGGTATCTCTCACCGAGTCTACGCAGGAACAGCTTCAGCGTACTTCCAGGTATGCCTCCGGGTCATCAGATCTCAAGTTTGAAACACTTTAAGTACAAGAATTTAGGAGTAACGTTTGACATGTACAATTAGGGAGTTGCAAACTGCGGTGACCGAGAGACAGAGACTGGAAAAACGCTTGAAAGCTAGCGAAAGTAATGCGAAGACTTTGAGTTTACGCGTATTTGCCCTGGAGAGTCAGTTGGCTGATCGAGAAGTTGAACTTCGCCGTGTTGAAATGGAATATCACTCGCAAATGTAAGATATGTCTATGAAAAAAATTAATAAATCGTTCCTAAGACTAAAAAATATTACGAGATAATTTTGGTTCCGTTAGGACGGAATTAAGCGAGCTGAGAGAACAATTGCTGCGACAATCTCAAGAGAGTGGCTGGAGCAGTCGGATATTGCAGATTGCTGGGAGCATCATGCGCGTGTCTATTCTACGGACTTTCGCGTTTCTATCCAGTGCTACTCTACCATTGCCGCCGTAGGTAGGTATTTTATTATAGCTCGTAGTTTCCAACTTGCAACAATTAAGAGAACGTGGAACTTTGTCCTCGTTACCTTATGTCGTTTAACGCGCGGATCAGTGAACATTCCATTTACTACATTTACGCGAGTGTCACTTCTGTAGTAACTTACGATAATTCACTCGTTTACGCGGAGTAAATTATCGTAAGTTACTACAAAATCCCGTTTACGCAAAGGAAAATTCCGTTTACGCGAAGGAATTATCGAAAAGTGAGTATTTCACTTATCTTTGGTGCAAAAATCGAAGATTCGTTTAAGAGAGCAGAAATTGAGATAGAAAAATAACATTGTTGTATATTTCAATATCTCGCAGATAAAGAGTTTAAGCGTGATCGCATTTTTTCGAGACGTAAACCGGTTTTAATCGGAGGAAACTGGATCGGAGGTTCGCTTCTTGCAAATGTTTTCGGTCGTGAAGAAGAGAGTGTTTTGTGATCGAAAATGGAAGATAAGAGAGCAAGGCCGTCACAGGGCAGCCGAGAAATTAACAAGCATCAGCATTTCATACTACATTTAAAATACATTTAAAATACAATTTTTTTAAGTCAATATTTAATTTTTGAAAAGTAAAGATTTTTAGATATACGCTTGTGATACCGTGCATGCATATATTGAGGATAAAATAAGCAATTTTATTACGCCATGTAGGTATTTCGATTTATAGGATAAATTTTTCCCTTTCGTAAATCACGAAAGCAAGGAGGAGGATGTAACAAGCAGAAAGCTTAACAGGATTTATTGAATAAACGTGAATATTATATGCTTTTATAATCTATATTTTTTTTAGTTTTCTTCACGTAATGATAAACTGATAAAAATAAATTACCGTCAGTATTATTTGATGGTAGATAATCTGGCGAGGCGGTTAGTTTTTTGCTATTGCGAGGCGTAGTACGGTTTACGATTGTTGGCCATTCGTCCATTATTTTGCAACGAATAGTCTGCTATGGCGGTTACTACGTTTCATACTCTATTCCACCTCTACTTAATATAAGTACATGTCATTGCATCTTAAATAAATACGTATACCAGAATGCGATGCTCACAGTATGATCGCAGTATTTCGTTATGACTAGGTAATCATGCTTATTATATCGCGAGTATTTTGCGTCGATAAGAAATAGATGTAATACGTAGTGTCTCAGAATACAATCACATTTTGTACTTGATGTACATACTAATTAGCTTACATTACATCCGCCATCGTCGACGTTGGAAGTACCGTATAATTGCCGTGCTATTATTATGGGTGAGACAAAACGAAAAAACTAAACTAGCGCAAAGCTTTAATATCTTAGTCTCATTACTTATCGTTCTTAAGTTCTCTTAAAATCACGTATTCACGCATTATTCGACAGAATGTATTCGAATTAATACTGATTAACGGAAAGTTCAATGCTGTTAGTGATCCCTTCATCAAATGCACCAATCTCTGCACATATAATAATTACTGCAAAAAGAAAATTATTTATGCGTATTTTGATTTTTTGTATCGTACATCCTTACACAGCGACGTTAGCTACACTGTCGTTCGAGAAACGCATTGATGTAATTCTCTTTATGTTCACGTAAAATCTATCGTAAGTTTGGCTAACGCTTACGCTAAATCTCGATACAATAATATTGAGCAATTCTGATGTTGAGGTAACATTGCTCTTGTTGTTCAATATCCTTCGTTTTATAAAAACGTCGCCGCGGCTCAGTAGAAATTGCATCGTCTACATCGTCGGAAGATTAGATTATTCCTGATAGTCTTCGGCGTAAACAAAGAAAAAAGGTAATTCCAAAAATCCTAATCATCTACATATCAAAACGTGCGATAGAGTTACCCTTTTCTTCCTGATCTCGCTGTCGAAAGTTACTACGGGATAAACTCGTAATAGGATCTATTATCGAAAAAATGTGGGGTTTTTTTATCGTCGAAGACTTCACTATCGAAGAAAAAATGGATACATAAATTGATCAACAGTTCTAGTCAGACTAGAAGTTTGATAGATCCTATGGTTACCCGACTAGATCATGCCGAAACCTTCGGTGCCCTCGCTGATCGCCAACAACAACGCTCGTTCGAAATGATCGTAGCACTCGTAATCAGGTAAGCATAGTTGGTTAAAGCTGAAAAGCAACATTAATGACAAACCGATGGTCAAAGAGAAAACGGGAATATCCTAGCTGTATTCCTAGATGAGAACGTACCAGGTATGTGCCGTGGGCAAATTAGCGAACGTTGGTGCGGCTGTAATCTGAAAACGAGGACTCAATTGTTGAAATCCACCGGGTGGCAATTGGGAGCAGCCCGTGGTGAACTGGAGCAATCGTGCCATCTCCTCTTGCGTAAAATTGCTCACCGCCGTCCAGAACCAGTCGAGCACTCGGAGAAATTCCGGAGAACTTCCGTTAGCTATGTGATGCGCGCGTAAATCTGCCACGCTGTACTCGCCAGTTCCGCACAACAGCAACTGTGAAACAGATAAAGTCGTGGAATACCGCATCTTCGAATAGACTTATTTTAACAGATTAAATTTTATGCACCTCCAATTCATTTTCATCAAATATGCCTAAAAGGTTGTCGGGAATCAGTTCGTTGAGACCACGCAAGAAATGATCGACCTCGTTGCGGATGGAACTAGCAAGCCGATGCTGAGCAAGCGCATCCAAGTAACGAAGCTTCGTATCATTGGTCACTCGGACTTTGCTACCACCGGGAATTAATTCTGCCACCTACACAAAACATAAGTGTTAATCAGCTTTCAGAGTTGTGTATTAAACTTCGGCTACGCATTAAATTTAGGGATAGAACATTCGAATCTAGTAATAATAAAGTTTGATTATGTATTCTAAACGACTGTAAAACAATTATTCGGGGATTAACACCTATCAAGAAGTAACAGTATATACCTTCAACAATTGCCCATCCTTATCATATTCTTCTTCAACGAAGTACAATTCCATTTCTTCAACGTCATTCTCGAGAATATACTTCACCTTACTTAAATATAGATCAGGGTCATCTTGTTCGAAATACTAGTGCCCATAAAAAGATACAGTTGCTTTGTTATTAATTTTTTGCACTGGGATAAAAAAGAAGTTCGAAAGAAGTTTATATTACCTTGTAATGCACTCTAAGTCCTATAATTTGTGCAAGGAATGATCTGGTGAATCTCGCGCGTACTAACTGACGGTAGGAGCCGCCAAGCGCTGACTCGTAAAGACATTTGCCTACGATACGTCCGGCAAACTCATAGTGCTTCAATTTAAGATGCGACGGTCGTTTGGGATTTGGATGCACCAATGCCTGTTGCGATTCCCCAAATGATGCGAACAAACCATTCCCCGGGTCGAACAGTGCGGCGCATATCAATTCGAACCATTCACGTCGCACGCCACCCCAATCAACGCCTAACATGCGATAATGATTTTTGTAATTGTCTCGAAATTGATCTCCATAAAAGTTCCTTAAATGTAAACGAAACGTACCTTGTTCGCCTTGGAAAGTGATTTCAAAATTTCGGCACCAATCGCTCACAGAAAATCCTTTAGTAGCTTTCATAGACTTTTAACAAAAAAACACAATTAGATTTACGCGATATTCTCATGGATGTCATTAATATATTTGTATATTTACCGATTCCAAAAGCTTATCACGTTGTACTTTCATTGAGAGCTTCTCGTGATAATGTTTTTGGTGATGTTTACGGACCTCGTGATAGAAAAAATCTTGTTTGTCAGCGAATGTTTCACTACCGCCAATGTTTTTCAAGAGAAACAAAGTGAAAGTGGCGGCTATTATATCACGATACAAAGATATTAGTTCAACGGGAGGTTGACATCCGTCGTCTATCGAGAAAGGGTAGTATCCTTCGTGCTGATTAGTCGAATTTTCAAAATGGAACTACAATTTACAATTCAAAAGTAAGGAATCACAAATCCAACAGAATTAAAATTGACGAATTAAAACGTACGTAAAATTATTTTTAATGATTATACTATACCTTAGTCGAAGGACACAGTCTAAATGTTACGAGTCTCTTGGGAATAAATTTTAATAAATATTCCTTAATCGTAAGTTGCTTGGGCGAGATAAAGCAGAAGACCTTCTTTGGTTTGGAAAATCTTTCTCCCTGCATGCCCAGCAATTTTGCAACGTAACAGATATCAGGATCCTTGGACGCTACGTTATTATGCACCATTCTCGCGACAGAATCTAGTAACAAGAAGAAAATCGGAATACATAAGCTACATTATATGTATAAGAGCGTAGGAAGATGTCTGAGCTTGAAAATAAGATATTTTACATACTCTCGAGTACAATGATATCAAAATCCCCATTATGCAACTGCAATCCTGCCAAGCTAACAGTTGCATGATAACATCCGCCTTTCGGAAAACTCACTTTCAAACGAATTCGTTGGTTTGAGGAATCGTAATCGAGTTGAATACTACAGTCTACCACCGATCCTTTATCTACTAAATTACCGATCTAAAGAAAAATAAATTTAGATAGTCAATATAACTCGGATTAGTCAATAATCGTTAAGATATTTATTTGCGCGATTTTTTTTTAATTTACCTGGGTAATATCGACATTATAGCCTTCCGTAGGTTGATCTTCAGGCCCAAATATGCACAGATTGTCATATTCGTCACGTGGCTCTATTGTCATCGAATGGGCGATCCCAGCTGTACAAACGACCGTCGAACTTTGTCGTATAAAGACCGTCTTATTTGGATCTGGTGGACCTAGAGTAGACGATATACCTTACGACATGATCGTAAATAGTAACTAATTGTAAGTTTTATACAGTGTGTCTCAAATTTTGCTAATTATTGCTAATTTCCAGACTCTTCAACTAACTGTAAGTCGACTTTTGCTTAACTAAAATGCCAAGAGAGGTAATAATTTGTTAGAAATATCCTATTTTGAACAATAAATATCTCTGTACAATATTAGTCACTCAAATTATATCTATAAATTAGTGTAAAAGCTTGAACTTATGATAAATGAGAGAAATTTACTGTCGTTTGCATTTTTAAAGTTCACAATTTGAAAACTAACGACTTTTTCATATTTTTTAAGCCATCTTCTATATTCCATCAGACTGATGATTCATGAGTATATCAGTATTCTCGTTATATTATTGAGTATTATTTTACAACGCGTCATGCATCGGATATACGTACCAGGGAGAAAATTCTTAAGAAACGGGCTGCCATGAACATGACACGATCCGATAAGTACAGCTATTCGATATTGTCCCGCATGGCGGACAGTAAACTTTACTACTGCAGTATTTGCAGCTAAGGGGTCGGTGCCTCCCAGTTCTATTAGCGTAGCTACTCTGCGCGTATCCTCCGTTACCTCCACGATCAAATTGTCCTTGTCACATATCGGGTACGGCTGACCGTTGCGCTGATAAAACTACAAACAGATAGTCTTACGTCTAACAAAAGTGACGTCTAAATGATGAGCTCTTATGAACTATTATTTTACGTGTGTTTAGCTTTACTGAAAATGACATCTCTCGAATAAATAAATTATATACATGTATAAATATTTGAAGGCTTAATTGATTGTCATCTAAAACGGCATAAGTTTACATCTTGCGGCTACCTATTTCCCCATGCATATTTCGTTCAGTCGTTCTGGCGGAAATTACCGCATCTAAATATAAATATCCACGAGAAGGTTCTGGCGGCGCAATCGTTTTACTCACTTTGACCGTAAAAGTCATCGTTTCGCCGACCAGCTGAGGCTCTTCCCACTCGAAATGAACGCGGCAGTTACTCGGCAATAAATATTTCCCTGTGACGTACTGCAGAAGAGAGTGTTTCGCTTCGGGTGCCAGAGCGGGCTGCGTCATAGCAGCCAGGGTAACCAGCCCTGCCACCGACACGGAAACTACCAACATACCGCCTGGCGAATATAAGGAGTTATTTGTTAGTTCTGGGCGTTTAATTAACGACCTCCCGATAATCACCCATAAGGGAGAAGGTTTAATAAAAATAATGAAAAATCGCGTGAATAGAGAACCGACTTTTAATGCTATCATCTGGCATATGCTATTTTAATTCCGTAAGTAATACTGCGCACTAAACTATTGAGCTGATAGTTAATAAAAATTGCATTGATAGTATAGTTGATAAAAATTAATAAATAAAATTTTTATTATTTTATTTTATTATTTTTCTTTATTCATAGATGTTTGCCTTTTTGGGAATCATTCCTATCTCAGTCATCTCCTTTTCTCAAAATTATCTTATGTCTGTTTTCACAGCAAAATTATGTTTAAAAAATTGATTCTAGAGCTCTCTTTCATTTCTTGAAGATATTCGTTGCCTTTCTTTCCCTTTCGTTCCGTAGAAAGAATTTCATTTCACGGAAATAGAGAGAACGTGGACTCGTACCCCATGTCCATGCATCCTGATGTTGGCTGTTCTTTACAACCGCACTCCACAGATCCGCTTTGAGAGTTTCTAAATCTTCCTTTGAAGTAGGTAACGTCTGCCTAGCCTGGGTCCACCGTGGTAGATCCTTCCCAAGGACTGTCCGTGCTGAATTGTCCTCCACCCAGTATACATCCTCCAGGGACATAACGTCGAATTGCATCAACCTGGCAAAGTACATCTTCAACGTATACGCTAAAAGTATACCTAGCATCCTAGCACACAAAGTGTATTTTCGCAATCTTTTTAAAGATTTATTTATATTGAACAACAATCTGTGAATGGCAATTGCTTATTTACGCGAAGAAAAAAACGAACGAGCGGAAAAGAGAAGATAATTATTATTAGACCTCCCTAAATGCAATAACACGAATCGGTCGATATAATTGCTAATTATGTAATGCAACCAAGTGTAAAGAACCAACGGAAGTCCGACGGTTGATATCGATCTGTTGTTGAGTTTTTCATATTTATGTTAAGTATCTTTTTTCTTACTTTTGATAGTAATTATGTAGGCCATGGTCCATCAGCCATTGACGTAGGACCAGTCTCTGTTGCAGTAAACGCGCAGCGCGCTGCAGACGTTCCTCATCTTGCGCCGGCAGCTCGGGTAGCGCATCCACCTCGCCGCAACTCGCGAGGGTCGAGATGCCTGTCACAAAAGAAAAACAATCACACATCCACATTCGTTTGGCGAATTAGCCTGAGACGAAAGAATGAAACAAACGAGATAAAAACGAGAAACTAAGACTTTAAGGCACTTTCTTGAATTCGCATTCTTTCTTCGAGAAGAGATAAAAGATATTTTTTTGTTACAAGACACGCTTTATATGCAAACAACTTTCATCATACTTTTCAGCACATAAAGTAGGAGTATAAAATAGGATTTAACACGTAAATTACGATTGTTTTCTAAGGCTGATTTTTTATGGCGTTCCATCGGAAGATGCCTCGTCAATTTTAATGATATATTTTTATAATCAGCGGAACACGATGAACGGCATCCGAAGTATTTGCGTAACAATTGTTTCACCGATAGCGTGGTATCATTGATAGAGAACGGGAAGCGTCGGCTGCGATAATTCGACCACGGAGAAACTACTGCTCGCTTATTCACATATCTGTTCTCGGTTAACAGTCAGTTGTAAAATCTGTCATAGGCAGAATGCGTTTCGAGATGTGCCGCGTCTCGCTTTTCGTTCTTGTTTGCGTTTCTGTCTTCGTAGACAACGCAATCGCGGCGTGCACCACCAGCAGAAACGAGAATGGTGAGACAATATCCCTATAATATTTTTCACGAGAGCCCTGCATTCCCTCGTCTATTCTTCAGGATCTCTTTCAGTTTTCTCTTATTCTCTAATTTAGCACGTGAAAGTGCTTGAAAGTCGTTCGTTTTATTCTAGAATAAATTGTAAATTGCGTAGACCGATAAAATGTAAAGCAATATGTAAGATGATAAAAAAATAATTAATCACACTTAACCGATCTCATTTAACCGATCTCTTGCGTTGCTATTACTACAATTTTTTCATAAATATTATTAAATATCCTGTTTAATTATGCTTAGGATTTGGCGAGCGTCTAAAATGTTCCAATGTGACGTTAAACACCGTCCAAGTTTTCGGCGGGCTGGACGTGAGCGACATCATGATCTTCCAATCGCGGATAGAAAATATTCCCGATCGGTCGTTCCTGAGATACAGTAAAGACTTAATCTCTCTGAGTATGCACGACTGCGGCATCAAGGAAATTTCCGGCTACGCATTCGGCAGTCTGAAAAAGTTGAAGAAGCTCAGTCTGCCGTACAACTACATCGCGTCGGTGAGAGATCAGTGGTTCGTCGATTTGACGTCTCTAGAGCAACTGGATTTGTCGTACAATCTCATCACGTCGATCGAGCCCACGGTCTTCGAGAAATTGCGAGGTCTCAAATGGCTCGACGTCAGGGAGAACCGTTTGACGTGTCTGGAACCGGTCCAGCTTGTACCGATGGCCGGCCTCGAGAAGCTCCGCTTCTCCGGAAATCCCCTCACCTTCCGGTGCCGCGGCACGGTGAGCGCATTGCATTTTTCGTCATCGAGAAAATACTGTCGTTCGAACGAGCATTATAACGGAACGAGCGCAACGGCGGCGAGGATCGAGTTTCATAATTTGATTTGAATCGAGAATATCTGTGTATAATATGGAAGCAAAATGCGTGGAGACGTTAATGTCTCATCCTCTTTCGCTGTTCGCGATATCTAAGCGGATGCTGAAATTCCGTTTTGACGCTCGTGTTATCGATCTGACAGCTTCGTTATAATAAAACAATATTTCGGAAATAGCTTCAAGTCTAAACTTCACATTGTAGTTGACGTTGTGGTTGCGAGACCTGGGCATAAATTACAAAATTGAGCAACGCGGGGAGGAAAACTGGCTGGATGATATATTATGGCTCTGCGCCGCAGACGATGTCAAGATAGCCGAGTCTGAAGTTTTCATGAAGGAATGTGTCGTCCTGAATCTATTCAATCAACTTCGTACCGGGTTGACTACGGCCGAATCCTTTCCCCTATCCATTCCTCAGGAATGCACATACGCGAGAAACAAACTCACGCAATGTATCGCTGCGGATCGCAGACATGGCAGGGAAGTTGTTACTAATGGACACGTCGTAAGAAAACTGTTAAGGCAGTTGAGAGAATCGAAGTCAGCCGTATAACGCAACAGATATATCAATTTTATGTTAATCCTAAAAACTACTCTCATAATTGGTAGCTTAAAAAAATTTATATAGTCGCCGAGTATGAATAAAGCTTCATATAAAAATGTTTCAGACACATGAAGTGAATACTTTTCTATTTTACTAAATTATTTTATATTTTATCTCTCCCACGTATAAATAAATGTCTTGTCAAGGAAAATGTTTCACTTGTCAAGTTGTCTATCTGATCTATCATAATGATTAATCTGCAAAAGTATAAAAAAGAGGGAGAAGAAAAACGCTAACTAGAGCACTTGTTTTTGTGAAAACATCATTTTCCAAAATTGCCATTACTTCAGACTTGTAGTTAATTACGAGTGAGCGTAAAAAATGTATAAAAAATTGTCGATCTAAGGAACATTGAAGTATCACAATAATTCCGAAATTGTAGGGTTAATTCGCTATGTTTTCTGTATATGCGCAGGTCTGACGTATTTATTACAGCACATACGTCAGCGCAAATTATGCAACGCGGTATCAAATGGTTTATGCTGACTCTCGCGATTCGCATCAGACATTCGTCCTCAGTAAGTAGAGTAGTTACTCACCGGAGGATGCGCTCCCGCTGGGCCGCAACGACATGCCGATGGATGATATTTCGCCGGCAAGGAAATCTTTGTTTTCGCGTTGTCCATTTCGGCAGCCGGGATTGTCCGGCATAATTTCTTTCTGTCTCTCTCACTCTTTTTCTCTTTCTCGATGCCTTTTCGTAGCTTTATGGTCGCTCTTAACGGCACATTGTCCCGCTCACCGTTGTCGCATCGGTGTCGATTCCCGCATCTCTTCGGAAGATTTCGTTATTCGTTCAGTCGAAATACACTACGTGTATTTGGAGTGCATCGGCGACAGCAAATGCGGGTGTATGGTGAATGATAAGAGATCGCGTTCCGCGATACACTACCTCTAGATTGCGCGCGGTTAAATTTCGTCGCGGAAATACGACCGCTCGTTACTTCACGGAATCGCGGCCAAGTTAGACAGACATTCGGAGGTACTGAGAAACGAGCGTAATTACGACGTGTATTCGTGTACTGGTGTGACATTAGACAGCGGAAATCTGGTTATTAATTTGACCATTTTCCTCAGAATTTGCTAGACTCTCATAGAGATTAACATGAATTTGAAGTAGATTAAAGTTGCAATTAAACTATTGATTTAATGCATTATATATATAATATTTTTCTCATATAGAATATTATGTTTGAAATTAGCAGAACTGTATTATCGTATAATTACACGAGAAACGTATGTGAATGAATATTTATCCTGAAAGAACAATCGGAGCTCGTCTCTCATTGAAATGAGAAAAAGTGATATAAGCTCAATGTGCATTGGAGAATTAAACGATGAACATCATTAAGTTTTTCAATCGCGTACGTGCCGCCTTTGTGCGACACAAAGCACTGAAATTACATCGCCGGAACATACGCGAAGGTGCAGGGTGCGCATTTGCGAAACAAAAAAAAAAGAGAGATCGGGTAACTTAATCTACGTCGGGAAGACAAAGGGCGTTTATGTTTTCGTTGAGAATTAATTCAACGATGGAAAACATTAATCACCTTTTCGTGTCGAACAATGGCTGCCTCCGGTACGTTTGCGAATGAAAGAATAGACGGGGTGGAGCGCAATTAATTTCAATTATTCGTGGCGATTCGCGAGTACGGATGCAGGTGGAAGCAAATAGAGGTGAGACAAGCCGCTGCGAACGAGACAAAGCCAATGAAGTCGGACGGATGAACATTAATTAGCAATTTGTAAATGGATCACCGGAAATAATCGATTCTATGTGCGATTCTACACAGGACACAGAATGTAGATAAATTTCTATAAAATTGATCCAATTGTGAGTTTCAACAAACAAAACCTCGAATGTTCAATTGTGTGTAGAAACATTTGAACATTGGCACATCGTTCGATTATTCTTATAATTCTTAAATCATCATTTTTTATATGGGCAATTAAGAAAACAATTAAAAATTGTAGCCAGATAGGCGAAAGGATTAGAAACCAGCACCATGTAACACTTGCTACTCATAATCTGTTGGAATAGCACGTATTATAATTCATCGTCGACATCTAGTCTTTAATTAAAGGCTCATTGTAATCTCACAGAATAGCAGGAATGGATTTATGAAATAAGTACAATCGGTGGAACAGTGGGTGAAGAGCGCGATGTCCAAACTTCACGAGAATTTAAATCCTTAAAGTTTTATCATTTAATTTAGAAAGTCGATTGCAAGCCGTGTAAAAGTTTCAGACGCTCGTGCCGTTTTTTACAGACTTTGCTTCAGTTCTTCTGTCACATACAGTACAACTACATGCAGTAAGATAGTAACTGCAAGCAAAAATTCTATTTAATTTTATTTATCGATAATCGCAATTTAAACAAGTAATAATAAATAGGACAAAACAAACAAACAATATATGTATGTATGTCGACAAATACGCATTACGTATTTAGTTTAGTATAATTTATAATAATTTTATACAGACCATTTTGACTGTTAAAATATGTGTATTTAATAGAGTAGAATGTGCAATCTCAAATTCCTATAAGGAGTCAGTTTTTGTTTTAAGTTTTAGTCAAATCGTTTTGAAGATAATCGACTGACCAGTTTCTGTAAATCTAAACGCATAAGATACTCCCAACGGTCTAATAAACGATTTAATATTAAGGACCGCATTGCGATGGAATGGGGACGCGATCCTCGTTCAATCACGGTGACCATACATTACTATAAATTAAGTATTTTCGAAAGGGGGTCAAGAGTCCACCCGAGGTCACAGCGGGGTTATCGCATTCACATTTTCCGCACACTTCTCGTTTTCTGCGCAAAATTGATCGCTTAATGTTATATAGTTGCGGAGAAAGCGTTCCGCGCGAGCAAAATTCTGTATGAATACCCAGGTAGCAGACAGTCGTCATAATGACGTGATTCTTACGTCATTTTATGACGTATGTTACGTCATTTATTCCTAAAGTTTAACGTAAAAATGACGTATTTTTCACGGTCCTAAGTCACATCCCAACGACGTCATTTTCTGACGTTTTATTGACGGCAAAAATAGGTCCAATGTACGACATACCGGTTTCTAGAAATGTTTTTTATGAAATTAAAATTTTAAAATGTCTACTTGATAAACGTTTATAAAAAAAGTTCTTTTTCTTTATCTAAGAAAAAAAAAGTTTTTTAACTGTTCCGTTAACATGCCATGTGCGTATAGCCGCTCTCAAGGCGGTCACCCATCCTAGTATGTACAGTACCGCGTCCGAGTCGCTTGACTTCGATGATCCAGTGGACAGTGACGATCTTCTCACCCTGATGCTTCCTTATTAACTGTACTTGTCTATAACAGGTACATCTTTAAGTGGTCAAAAATCTTGTAATGATATCTTCTTAATAGTTATAACACTGCATGAAATAGTTATCATAAAACTATAATTACACACGCAACTAGATCCACTTATACCATAAATTCATAACGTCAATCATAAAGTTACGAAACACTTTATAAATGTAGGAATATTCCTGTGAAAAATATGTCATTTTTACGTCAAACTTTAGGAGTAAATGACGTAACATGCGTCATAAAATGACGTAAGAATCACGTCATTATGACGACTGTCTGCTACCTGGGTAGTCAATTAAACGTCTATATAATGTCATTTTACAAAGTCTTTTTGACGTATTAAAACATGACGTTAAATATACGTCACTTAATCGACGAATGACGTTACTGACCAATTATGACCAAATATTGACGTCAAAATGACGAGTGCTTGCTACCTGGGATAGATAAAAAGTATACGGAACGGGCTAGCAAGACTGGGATGTACATCTTGGAGTGCAATCGGTTCTTCAAGGATGAATACAATTTTTGCCACCAAAATGTTTAACGTCGCTATGCATATAAATGTTTAACCTTACTACATATTTAATGTAATGATCCCGATGATAGATGACTGATCGAGATGATAGATGTCTTATGGTAATGCAAACGGTATGTGTATTCCGTAAAATGAAAAATTGTAATGTAGTCTCATCGATTTCCGATATTCGTAATATCGTACAATACAACCGTATCTCGCACGTGCTTAATAGCGCGGTATATCAGAGTTGTTCTGATAGCTGTAGGTAATATTAATAGGTGCCGGATTAATCTAGGAGGCTACGAGGGGATTGTGAAGATTAAACAAACGCAATCGGAAAAAGAAAAACTACGCACTGCATATATATTCGCATAACTAGAATTCTCCGAGGACATAAGTAATGTGATTTTGTAATGTGTTATTATGCGCGAGTATAGGTACTGTCTGGCGACTTGTAGAAAGTTTAACGGCGTTATAAAGCTCGAGCGTCAATACCCCGCTAGCAATAAACTCCGATCCTTGAAATATTTAAACTTCGATGTATAACAGGATTGTAAAGACCGTAATGTCGAATGGCGTATAAAACGTTTAATAGTCGCGGGTATTGACACCGTAAAAAAGGATCGAATTGATGGTCACAAAGACTGTTTTTTTTTAAACGCTTTATTTCTTCCAATACAATAACGTTTCAAATTCAATAAAAAATATTTTCCCCGTAACGCTAACGCATACAGTAAAATAACCCGATGGTCTTGACTGTAAAATTGAAGCTTTCATACTTTTTATGGGAGATCACCGTCACACGATTTTGCGAGCGTTGATTTTTCCTCACGATAAGTGACTGGCTTCTACGACTGGAGTCAGGCTAATTTATAATCTGCTTTAACAGATAAGATGCTTTCAAGACCGTAATTCGCGGATTTATGGTTGAAAGACTTCGATCACGTATGTAGATGCTTCGGAAAGGATATCGCGAATTTTATCACGGTAAAGCGAAAAAAGTTGTGTCACAATGATTCAACGGAATTTTATTCGCGAGATGCTGGTTCGGTCTCGCCGGGTGCATCTTATGAAGAGAGGCTCATATTTTTCCGTGTACCATCGCGCTGCCGGCGAAAATAACTTCCGGGCTAGGACAAAGGCAGAAGTCGTGCAGCAATCTCGACGGGGACTCTTGACCTTTTCGAACGGATATCCTTCCGACGGTATTTTGTGCTAACGATCCTTTCGTCGCTCGTGCAGCGAAGGGCGAGGAAAACCGGGGCAATATGTATGTCACATATTGCTCATGATTATGCATGCGA